CCAGATGGATGACACAGCCCTCCCCTCCTCTGAGGTGAACAGTTACAGGTCGGTGTTTCACATGTGAGGTGTGGGTTCACGGCTCACAGACAGACACATATATTTATGTCTATATTTGTGGTGATATATTTGAAGTTTTTAAATCCTCCGGTTGTTTTTCCTGTCAGACATGAAGGTCGCTTCTTTCAACGTCCGTCGGTTCGGACTGGCCAAGGTCTCGGATCGGGATGTTCTGTCCACCCTGGTGAAGGTACGGTACCGTAGTACTGTTGGAGACAGACTGAAGAGGAACAGTTCTAGAAGGTTCTGTTTGATGTTCCGTCACAGATCATATCTCGTTACGACATCATCGTGATCCTGGAGGTGGTGGATGTGAGTGGGGACTCGGTGAAGGTTCTCCTGAGGGAACTGAACAGGTGAGTGGAACTGGAACTGGAACTGGAACTGGAACCTTTGTCAAATGATCAGCTGAAAAAGCAGTTTTTTTTTGTAAATATTTTTCAGTAAAAACATAATCTTTGTCCGTTGTCTACGGTGAAAACATTGTTTGTAAATGAGTTACTTCTAAAAAATGTTATTTTTCTACAATAAAAACAAACTTTTTACTGCAAATAAGCTACTATTAAAAAATGTTTTTGGTTTTTCATCGTCTGTAAAAATATTTCCGGTCGTTCTGATCCTGAGCTGTTTTTTGTGATATTGATTTTGTTTTTTTCTCTCCATCTCAGTGGAAACAAACTCCATCACTACTGTCTGCAGATCAGCTCTCGTCTGGGACGGAGCAGATACAAAGAACAGTTCTTGTTCCTCTTCAGGTTGGAGAACGTTGCTTCTTAATCAGGACTGAAGGCAAAAGTTTTCCAGCTGTTTTTCAAGGACGTGTCGTCCTCCTGACAGGGACGACGTGGTGGACCTGATCGACTGTTATCAGTACGAGGACAATCAGGTCAACGACATGGACGCCTTCGCCAGAGAGCCTTACATTCTCCGCTTCAGGCCCCGCTTCACAGGTCAGTAAGGGGGGGGGGGTCGGGGGGGGTAACGGACCTGTGTGTGGGTGTGTGTGTGTGTGTGTGTGTGTTCCTGTGGATGTTGCCATAACATTATGGATGTGGAGGTATGTCCACGTCAAGTCTGTACCTGAGTGTTTTTCTTGGTGGTTGGGGGGGGGTTGATCCCGGTGTTTGGTTTCAGAAGTGAACAGGCAGCGACAGCAGGTCTGTCCAGTTCCCTGTGTGGTTCTAAACAGGTCGTCTCCTGTCCCAGTGTTGACAGACCTGGTCCTGATCCCCGTCCACACCACGCCCACCGACTCTGAGAAAGAGCTGGACGAGCTCTACGACGTCTTCCTGCACGTGAGAGACAAATGGAGAACGGACGTGAGTGACCCCTGGAGTCTGGTCTTGGTCCTGGTCCTGGTCCTGGTCCAGTCGGTTCAGTCTCGATGTTAAAGGTTCAGTTCTGTTGAAGACAGAAACACTCAGGGTTTGTTTTTCACATTGAGGTGAAATAAAAACTACTGCTCCACTAAACTCCTCCCCCTGGTGGAGCCAATCCCAGAGGACATCAGGTGAGGGCGGACAGTTCTCCAGTCTGTCACAGGGACTCATGTCGAGACAAGTAAAAGTCCACACTCACATTCACACCTGTGGTGTCAACATTCACCTGATCTCCTCGAGAACTCCGTAAGGACAGACCAGCCGTTAGAGCTGGGGATTGAACCAGTGACCTCCCTGTAGGAAGGCAAGGGCACTAACCGCCCCCAGTCATTCTGCAGCTTATTCCCCTTCATGTCTGTTCTGCGTTGGTCAGACTGTGTTTGTGTGACTGTTCTGTTTGGTTCCGCTCCAGAACGTCATGATCCTGGGAGACTTTAACGCCGACGGCGCCTACGTCAGTCGTAAGAAGATGAAGAGCATTCGTATTCGCAGTGACGAGAACTTCCACTGGCTCATCGGCGATGACGTCGACACCACCGCAAACACATCCAACGATCACACCTACGACAGGTGGGCACGACGCCGCGCCGTCCAGTAGAACGCGTTTGTGACGTCACGTTCATGAGTGAAACGTTTGTGTGGCAGGATCGTTGTGTACGGAGACCACATGCTAGCAGCCACGGTGCCGCACTCAGCCAAGACCTTCAATTACCACCAGGCCTTTGGTCTGACGGAGGAGATGGTGAGACTTATAACGCAGCTTAGCCTAGCCTAGCCTAGCATGACATGACATGACATGACATGACACGACACGTGACCCGTGTCACCGCTCGTCTGCCGTCAGGCCCTCAGAGTCAGCGATCATTATCCCGTGGAGGTGGAATTCCGCAGCACTCTTCCTGTCTGCAGCTCAAAAGGCGTCCAAACGTGTGACATTTCCATTACCCAGAATTCATCAGTGACCGGATCAGTTGCAGGTAATTAGAAAACCACGTCCTTCATTACATGGTGTCACTGCTGTCAGACATAAGTGAAATATTTCAGACATGATGCGATCGTCATGACGACAGGGTTCAAAGATGAGGAGGAGGAGGAGGAGGAGGAGGAGCTTCACAGGAGTGTTTTTAAAGAAGCCTCAGAATCATTTCAAATGTTATGACTTTTATCTGTGGATACATGAACATATAAGTGAATATATAATACACTGACTTCAATCCTGTTGGGTTTTTTTTGTTCTCCGTACAGAGAGTTTACAGGTGGACGTGTTGAAACTGCAGAAGGAAACTCTGCAGCTGAAGCAGCAGAAGCTCCGCCTCCAAATCACTCTGTTACAACAGCAACTTGATGGAGTGAAAAAGGAGGAAAAGTCTCCGCACGACATCCTTCGTTTTTAACTTTTCTTCTCAGTCCTGGTTGGACAGTTCCTGGCCAAACAGCCAATCAGCAGACAGAACGTATTTGTTGGTTGTTGTTCTTTTCATTAAACACTTTTTAAAAATGGTCCAAAGAACTTTCTGAAGGATGAGCTCGGCCTGGTCCATGGGTTCTACACCTCACACTCCCACATGCAGGAATTTCACCCTGGCACTGGACTGTGGTTTAACTTGAAGTTCTAGACTGTTCCACACAGGTCGGTCGGTCACATGGTTCAAGTACAGACTCACTGGGAATTGTGGGAATTCTCACCTGCTCTTAAAAACTCAACATTCTTCACTACAGTCGGCCCCAAAACAAGTCTGGAGGCAAGATTTTAGGCCACGCCCCTGTCCATCGCTTAAGGCACCCCCCCCCCAGCCTCCAGGTAACAGGTACAAACAACTAAGTAAAATAATAGTAATAAGTCGTTGAAGTGAAATTACACTTTTTTTCTTCCATCATTTTAGCGCCCCCTGGATTGATAGTGCCCTTCTCATGTTCCTGTGCTTTCTCTGAAAACGAACTTTTATTGGTTTACCTCGAACCTGAACCTGCTTAAAAATAACGGTCAGATCCTCTAATAGGTAAATATATATATATATATGTATGTATATATTTAAACATCCTGTCTCGTACACACACTGTACCTACAGTTTATATACCGGACCAAACCGGTTTTCCCGGGACACTTATAGACACGTTCAAATACGTGATGTATACAGTGCAAACAAAAAAAAAATCCAAATTTGTTTAAAATGGTTTTCAAACTGTGGTATGTGTACAACTAGTGGAACTTGGGGTCCCCCTAGTGGTACTATTAACTATGAACTACTACTACTAACTTGGCTGGAAAATAGTGCAGTGAAAATGAAGGGATGAAAAACCGAATGACTCGACACGAAAAGTCAAACTTCCCTAAAGTTTTAAAAATCATTTTATTTTTAACATATTGTAAAAACTCAACTAACCAATAAACAACTAGTTGTTCGTCCATGTACTGAACCAATAAACAACTAGTTGTTCGTTCATGTACTGAGCACTTACTTTCACGTACAGCTGTAAATGTACGTTATTATACAAGTTAAATATTGGCAAATATCACACATCACTCCTTCGAGAAAGAGTTGATGAACTGTGCTTCAAGAAAACAGTTATTTTTAACCAAATATCTTTGTTTAAACTTAATATTTCAGCGTTTCCGCTGTTACAGTACAAACACAGTAGTCACGTGACCGTACAACGCCTTCGTCCATGACCTTTTTCAGAAGACCCGCCTTTACTTGTTTCTGATTGGCCCAGTTCCTCGTGGCCAACAACCAGTCACCAACAGGCTCCAAAACACGGAACTGAACCTGCTGCTCCAGCCAATCAGAGGAGACGCCCAGCAGCCAGAGCAGAACATAACAAACAGTCTGAGCTGCACCTGGTAAACAACCCGTCAGAACCGAGTCACGTCTCCAGGGTCCAGACCAGACGGGGTTCGGAGGTTCCAGTGAAACACCGCCCTCCTGTCCAGCAGACGGGCCGTCTAGATGCATCGCAGAGCAGCGACAGTACCGAGGACGTCATGGATGTGTTGGACTTGTTTAGCAGCTGCAAGAAGGGCGACGTTAGCAGAGTCAGGTACCGACCGCGGGTGTTGTCACTGCGGAACCGAACCGTTCAGCGTTCGTTATCGTTGGCTTTTTGTTTTGTCCACCGAGGACGAATGGGCTTTTTGTTTTGTCCACCGAGGACGACTGGTTGGCTTTTTGTTTTGTCCACCGAGGACGAATGGTTGGACTGACTGACTGACGGACTGACGGACTGACTGACAGACAGACAGACAGACTGACAGACAGACTGACAGACAGACTGACTGACTGACTGACAGACAGACTGACGGACAGACTGACTGACGTTAGCTGTAACTGAAGCCACGGTCCGTCAGGGTTAGCTCTGCCGATCACTTTACACGTCCTGACCTCAGCGCTGGTCAAACTCAAGGCCCGCGGGCTAAATCTGGCCCAAAACGGCTGTGCATTAATGAAACATTATTTTACACTTACACTGTTACAAAGTTGAATTATTTACACCCTGGTGACTCTGGTGACACCTGCTGGTCTGGTCAGTCACCTGCTTCCTTACTTCATCTTGGTCTGTACTATAAGTTTTTTCTGTCCCGTCTCCCAGATACCTGGTCGAACACAGAGACGTGGACCTCAATGTGAGAGACAAGTGGGACAGCACCCCTCTGTAAGTACAGCACAGTCAGAGCAGCGCCCCCACCCTGTGACTCAGGCGTGTTGAAACCTGAAGTGTCTCCGTGTGTCCTCTCCAGGTACTACGCCTGCGTCTGTGGCTACGAGGACCTGGTCCAGTACCTGCTGACCAGTGGTAGGAGGAACAGAACTCTGGGAGAATCTGGGAAACTCTTTAACTCGACTTCAGTCTCTTGTTGTTGGTGGAAGAAACAGATTATTGTTTCTGGAGGTTTTTTGGAGTTTTTTTACAAAAAAGTCTTTTTATTGATTTATTTAATTTATCCTTGATTTTGTTGCATGTTCACACTGGGGTTGGTGACACTTCTATAGATGGTCGATAGATGTCACTGTGTGATCTAGTCTCAGACTCTGCTTTTTGTTTTGTTTTGGTGCCGTTTTTTCCCCCTTCGACCTTGTCTTTCCTGGCGTCAGGAGCGCGGTGTGAAGCCAACACCTTCGATGGAGAGCGATGTCTGTACGCCTGTCTGAAGGACTCCATCCGACGGCTGCTCAAAGACTACAAGTGTGTCGGCGGACACCTGATGCAGCACGACTACTTCAACCACTTCCTCCGCACGTACGTGTTTTTTTTTAACCCACAAATCACTGCGGCCGACGGTGGAAAAGGGTCCCGCAGCGCCTGAACGTGCGTTTGATTCCCAGGTTACTGGAGCAGGGTCAACACGGAGACGTGGAGTTCCAGGTCCACGGACAGACCTTCCAGGCTCACCGCTGCATCCTGAGCGCCCGCTCCGAGTACTTCGCTCACATGTTTGAGACCAAGTGGAAGGGGAAGAACTCCATCAGCCTCCAACACCCTCTGGTTGGTGCACCTCCTCCGTGCTGCGTCTCCTGCGGGAGTCAGGCGTCCCGTGCTCACGCCTCCTCCGGTGTTTGTCGTTTCAGATCAACCCTGCAGCGTTCGGAGCCATCATGCAGTTCATCTACACAGGTGTGTGGACACGACCAGACTGACTTTAATTAACACCAAAATACAGTTCTAAGAAAAAGAAACATTTTTATAGATCTGTGAAATCAGAAATGTCATTCAGCATCAAAATGTAAGTTAAAAACAAACAAAAACTGCCTTTTATTTGGAGAACCTTCTAACGAGAACCTGACTTTTCAGATAAAGGCTCAAAATTGAGGATTTACTCTAAACTCAGAAGGAAAATGAAACTCAGATATGAACAAATATATATCTTTCTATTCCTGAAACAAAAAGCCAACTACATCCAGCTGTAGGTGGCGCTGTGTGCGCTCAGCCCTGTTTAGTTCAGATTAAAACAGACGGAGCGTGAGGTGAGGCGACCACAGAGACCAGAACACTGACCGGTGCTGCCGTTTCAGGGAGGATGGACATCGACATCGGTCTGCTGGAGGACTGCAGACGACTGGCCAAACAGTGCAAGATGGCCGACTTCATGGAGGAGCTGGAGACGAAATGTAAACAGTTGTACGACTTTGGTGAGTGCCCGCACTTACAGGTGGTTCTCAAACCATGGTACGCCCTCCGCTGATGGGACTTAGTTTAGTTGAGATGTAACGAACACCAGTCTGAGTCACATGGTCTGGATTAGAGAGTGAGAAAAAAAAACATGTTCAACAACTGGTTCAGTCAAACATGTGACTCATTAGTCACGTCTTTTTTTCTCCAACTCAAGTGTCAAACAAACCTGGGATCTGTGTGAAGGTTCTGAGCCTGGAGCCTCGCAGCTGTCGGCTCCAGGAGGACATGACCCAGCTGGCCGACTCCGCTCTGCCCCCAGAACTCTCTGTAAACACGCTGATTCTACGGATTTATTTTCAGAGCTCATACTTCAGCCCTGGTTGTTCATGACTCTGTGGTTGATCCTCCGTCAGGTCGGGTTTGGAGAACTTCCTTTCAACCGAGCGGACAGCTTCCCGACCTATCCTGACATCTGCTTCAGGGTGGACGACTTCAACTTCCTGTGTCACAAAGTAGGACCGACAGACATCACATGACTGTCCTCAGGTGGACGACAGTCCAGTCTGACTGCCGGGTGTGTGTGTGTGTGTGTATGTGTGTGTGTGTGTGTGTGTGTGTGTGTGTGCCTCCAGGCGTTCTTCTGTGGCCGCAGCGACTACTTCAAAGCCCTGCTGGAGGACCACTTCAGTGAGGGTGGACAGCTCCAGTCCCAGCCTGGTACTCCAGTGATTACGCTGCACAACATCTCCCACGAAGTCTTCGTCCACGTCATGTACTACATCTACACTAACTTCACTGAGGTTGGTGCAGGACTTCCTCCTTTGACCTGTTGAGGAGAACCTTTCCTTGACAATTAAAGAACTGGTTATGAACTGGTTATGGACTGGTTATGAACTGGTTATGAACTGGTTGGGGGGCGCCAGCCAGTGTGTGTGTGGGGTGTGTGTGTGTGTGTGTGTGTGTGTGTGTGTGTGTGTGTGTGTGTGCCTCCAGGCGTTCTTCTGCGGCCGCAGCGACTACTTCAAAGCCCTGCTGGAGGACCACTTCAGTGAGGGTGGACAGCTCCAGTCCCAGCCTGGTACTCCAGTGATTACGCTGCACAACATCTCCCACGAAGTCTTCGTCCACGTCATGTACTACATCTACACTAACTTCACTGAGGTTGGTGCAGGACTTCCTCCTTTGACCTGTTGAGGAGAACCTTTCCTTGACAATTAAAGAACTGGTTATGAACTGGTTATGGACTGGTTATGAACTGGTTATGGACTGGTTATGAACTGGTTATGAACTGGTTAACCAGGACAGTCATAACGATGTCGTTTCCTGCTTCGCCACAAACAGCAGACATTGTTGAAAAACTGGTTGAAAAAAAAGGAAGGTGAACACGGGTGAGGGAGGGGTGGAGTGAGGAGGGGGAGCACCTGGAGGAGCGGTGGGTAGGGGGTAATTATGGGGGTGGAGGGAGAACTGACACCACAGTGTAGTGAGGAGGAGTAGAAGAACAGACTTCGCCACAAACAGCAGACATTGTTGAAAAACTGGTTGAAAAAAAAGGAAGGTGAACACGGGTGAGGGAGGGGTGGAGTGAGGAGGGGGAGCACCTGGAGGAGCGGTGGGGAGGGGGAATTATGGGGGTGGG